TAGGGAAACACAGTCCGTAATGCCTAATAATTATGAGGGTGGGCAAATATAGCAAGATGGGTTGTGAAGCAGCTGTTGCTCCTGGTTCTATTATCTAGGGCAAAAAACATATCTTCTTTGATTTCCCAGTTAAAACCATACAGACACATGTATGGGTTCTCAGTCAAACCATGTACATTAAACCTAAACAGAGAGGGAGACTGTATTTTTGTTGTCTTTCTGAATATAGCCCAGGAAGACTTGTGCTACCGTTATTTATCCCAGTTTCACCAGGTTTTCAGTTTACAATTATTTGTGGATATTTGTTCCTAGTGAAAGCTCCACACTGCTCTCTCTCTTACAAAGAAGGGTGGTAGGCTTGCCAACATCTCTGGAGAAAGCTGAAGCAGACACTCCAACTCATGAAGATCCCACTGGAGAAAGTCTTCTGCTGAGCACATCCTGACTCTAAGCCAGGAGCCCCATTTTGAAAAACTCAAACAACCCTCAATGTGAGTGTGAAAAAAAAGGCAGAATGAAAGAGAGATCAGAAAAATCTCAATGACATTATGAACACACATGCCTGGGTTCCTTCTTCTAAAAGAAGGGGATACAAAAAAATATTTGGAAAGCAGAAAAGGGAATCCCAGAAACAGCAATAACTTCAAAATGACCCTTGCAGAGTAAACTTCCTTAGGATTTTGCAAGAGGGTGTCCATAGCAGCAGCAGAAGCTGTAGTCACTGGCAAGACTCTGAAAATGTTTCTCCTAGTTAATTGAAGTTAGTTTTGTCCAGAAGTTTCCTCGTCTTATGTGGAGCCAGCATGGTCTGCTTTGGAGGGGACAACGGCCAAGATCTTAAACATAGTTGTTGATCTCTGTCCCCACCAACACATCCACATCCCCAGAGTGACTGGGCAGCATTACTTCTGAGGGATGAATCTGGGAGGCCACGTAGACACTGGGAAAGGGCACAGTGTACTGTGCTGACCTCTGTCAAGCAGCACAGCCCAGACAGGCACATCAGGATGAATAAAACCCAGGAGAGAGGGTCTGATGTGGAGACAGATGCAGGAAAGGTAGTGGCTTAAAAATATAGGTGGAGAGTATTTGCTAGCAGATAGTGCATCTAACTGGCCTTCACCCTGCATTTTCATCCCCCTGCACTTGGTGATAGAGAAGCAGATCTAGACAGCCCAGAATAAAATGGCCATTGTCATACAAAAACTAGCTCCAGATCTAAGCAAACTAAGAACGAAAACTTGACTAAAACTATGCCAGACCCCCATCCGTATTTAGCACTGACATAACTGTCAGTTCTCTCCTCGTTGACAGCTGATTTCAATATGATCTTAAACAGAAAGACCTTCAGTGGCCCAAAACCAGTATGATGCCTGGGAAGCAATGCTCATCATGGCTACATTGGATCCGCCACAGAAGAAATGATGCAGATTTCATGAACATGCATGCTTCCTCCCTGCATCACTCAGTGGTGTAGGTAACATTTCTAGCTTGAGCATGTCATTGGGACAACAGAAGTCCTGCAGTTCTGCCAGTTTGGACAGACCACCACTTCTTCATAGTTCTCCTCCTTGTTCTGATCTCACCGTTGTCCAGACTGGGAACTTGTCACAGATCCTACAAACATATGTTTCTGCACATCTCAAGAAAAAAGTGAAAGAGAACCAGGGCCCCACATGGATTTCATCCTGACATGGAGTAATGACTTGTCCAGGACATATATCCAAGCCCAGAAGCTGTTTAACATTCTCAGGTTCTTCAGTTTACATGCAGTTCTGGTGACCAACCTTAAAAGTGCAAAAGAATAAGGGTCTCAAGTCTACTTAACACTTTCACCCTCCAAGAACTCTCATTTTCAGTGGCAAACCAACTCTTCACAAGCCACAGGCTGCACTGAGAAACTTAAAAATATCTCAGGTTATGTCATGGGTCGTGACAGCTCTCCTCTGTGTGCACAGCTAGCCTGTACTAGTGGAACAAGTCAGATGCATCTTGGCTCCCTCCAGCAAACTGTGCACAGTGGAGCTGGCAAGCACAGGGGCAGCAAATGCAACCCAGCAAGAATAGACAGTGCAGGCTGCAAAACAGCCATTTCCAGATCTTTGTTGTTGTTTCAGAGTGTCAAAGCTGCAGCTTACTGTCCCAAACATTAGGGCTGTCAGGTCTGCCTTAAAGATAGAACAAAACACTCAGTGCAATTTATTACTCTCTTAAAATAAATTGTTTTCATTATTATAGTCATTTAGGAAAGCCCTGCAGCCTTGGGAGGGGGGAAGTGTGCTCTGGACATGGTTTGTTTTTGAATCCTGAGGCAATGGAGACACTGTAAATAGATGTCTGATAAGAATCTGTCACCAGATTAATCAGGATCTTTGCAAGCTGTAACTTAACACACCTGTCATGCTTAACCACTAGAATTTAAAGGGACGACACTCATATATACAATATTATTTTCAGTCACATTTTGCATTCATTCAAATAGTGTCAACTAATTGATGAGCTGGTTCACCAGTGTAACAAATACACTGTTTATTACTCTTCAGGTACTATTCCACAGCTGATCACTACTCACTTCAGGAATCTGGTATCTCTTCAGTGTAAGTCTCTTTAAGTTGAAAATGCTATTGCAATATAGTGTTAGAATTTAATATAAAATGCATTCCTTTAAATATGGAAGATTTCATGTACATTATAGCAATATGTTCTTCCCAAACGAAATCTTTACTGTCATAATCTGTCATAAAAGTTTACTGTGTTTTATTTTACATTTCTTATCCACACACATTATTTCTGCTTTCCACTTTTGTGACCTTAGGTAGTTGTTTTGGTCAAAAAGGGGAGGGAAAAAATAGTTAATTGCAATTAACTTGCAACCTTCTGTGCTTCTGAAGAATAAAAGTCCTCCTGTACAAACAGTACAGCTTCTGTCATGACTGCAATAAACTAGGCTACTGGGTTCAGTCCTCAAGTTTCCTTGACCTACTAAATTTACAGTAGTTTCAATGTTTGTTCCTTTCAGCCTGCTAACTCACTGTTGCAAAGGGAAAAGAAGAAAAAAAAAAAAAAAAAAAAAAAAAAAAAAAAAAAAAGAAAACGTATTGATAGTTCTGCTAAGAACTATCAGCACAATACTTATGAGAAATGAGTAAGCATAAAATGCAATGTTATAATTAGAAATGGATGCAAGCAAAAAAAGTTCAGGTTCACATCTGTAGGTTTTACAGTCACGGTCCTGATTCAAGCCTAGTTCTGATTACAGCAGAAGCTTCTTCCTTCCAGAGAGGACTTTCTCATTGCAGGTCTCAGGGGCACAGTTTAGTCCCTTCACTATTTCAGCTAGGTAACCCGGTGCAAGTGTTATACATGGATGCTTCAAGAAGAGTTTGTCCCAAGAAGGAGTATACAGACTTATCAGAAGAGGGACAAGCACCTTTCATTCCCCTCTATTCCTCTGCCAGTGAATTCCTACTTGCACAGAAAGGAGAGACTCTGTGTACGTGTCTTATTTATTTGATAACACTCTACGTTCCTGCTCATGTCCTCCACCTAAACTATGGAACAGCAAGTAACCACAAGGTCTCACTGATCTTTCCAAACCTGGTTACGAAGGAAGAGGGAGTCAATAATGTAAGACTCATGTGGATACGGGTGAAAAAAAGGGAGATGAGCAATTAGCACCTATAGGCTGAGCTACAAATAGCCACAGAATCATATAATGAATAAACAACCTGGGTTGTAAGGGACACTCCCAAGGTCATTTGGTCCAACTGCCTGCTCAAAGGAGGGCTGACTTTTGAGTCAGACACAGGCAATCAAGCTGTGCGTCACCCACTGCAGAAAACGACAGGGAACTTGACACAGATGCATGTTGTACTGGGACACAGAGCGAAACACCCTCAGTTCAAAGCCCAATGATACCCAATGATACGTGAAAACCATGGGGTAGATTTACTCCAAGGGGATGTGGGGATTACAGGAGCTCTAAGGCCCTCAGCAGCACCACTGGGAGGGGGCACACGTCATGCGTCAGGACAGCTGAGACACTGCAGAGAGGGAGCCCTTCCTGCCCCCCCACCTTAGCTGTTACAAAATATATTGAGCGCCAAAACACATACAGGGCATTTTAGAGATAACTCCTTTTCTGTTGTTCTGTTAGAGGGAAAAAATACTTTGTGTTTCCTCTACTGTTTTGCACCCACTTAGGGGCCAGTGTTACAAACTAAAAGGAATAGTTTTATTTGCGCCATGGGCAGCCTGGGTGTGCTGGCTGCAGGCACTGGCATGTGGTGGGTCCACTGACTCACCCACAGACCCTCTGTGCCCTTTCCTTTGTACTCTGCACACAGCATGTCCAAATCAGTATTTTCATGTACACTGCCACAATTTTTCCATGCATGGTTTAGCTACATGGTTTTGGTTTAGAAGCCCTCTAAGTATTTGATCACAGGATGTCAAGGGCATTTGACTTAAGAAGTGGCAGAAACTAGAAACCACACAAACACTATGAATAGAAGCTAGGGGAAGAGATGGCACATTTATGAACTCGGTCAAAGTGGATGCATATGTTACTTTATTTAGGCTCATATCAAAGAAAGAAACCCATATAATCTCTAGCTCTTTATTTATATTAAAGTACTAACTCCTCTGTTTTCATGGCATATTTCTATTTTTATACTACTGAAATCATCAGCTGAAAGTTTCCACATAAACTGCATCCCAGCCCCAGAAAACCATATATTGGTAAGACTGATATCTAGCCTATCTTCACTTTCCTAAAAGATAATAATCAGATGAGGTATTATCAAGTATTAGTGACACTCAGAAGTAACATCTGATCTTTTATAAAAAGCTATGTTCCTAATGCCTGAATGACTCATGTTTGCCACTAGAGCAATACAAAGTCATTAAAGAAGGCTGGCCTTTAAAAATATTACTTGGAACCAGAGCAAACTGTTTAAATATATCAAATGTCATAAAATGCTCTTTCTGAAGTTAAGGTTGTTAACAGTATAAACAGTATGAAATGAGAGTCTGTGCCCTCTCTTTACTGAAGCCCAGGAGTAAAAAATCAGGTGTGAAAATATTTTTATTTGCTGGAAGTAGGATGAATAATCTTAAATAATGTTGCATACAGAGAGCATTGTAACACACAGGCACGTGTATCCACATATTACACTAAAGGGTTATATCACCATAGGACTCGATTCTTCAAATTTCATTCACCCAATCCTTATTTGTTCTTGTAATCCCACAAGAGTTTGCCTTAATGACATATACATTATCTTCATTGAATGGTACTAACTAGCTGCTCATCATGACTAAGTGTAAGATGTACTTTCATAATATATTGGCATCAGAAGTTAAGCCAGTTCCTTAAGTTCCCAGCTACCACTCCCACTCCCTCCCAACCACCACTGCCCCCACATCACTGTGGGCCACCCTTCAGCCATGCCCTTATGACTAGTTGTAGGGTCACATGAGGACACAGGTCACCAAACTGGCCTGAGTTAAAAATAACCCCACTGAAAATACAAGGTATTATTTTTAACACGGAACATTTCAAAGATCTGGTTTACGGTGTCATGCCATGAACAGTTTTAGTGACACAGCTGGTGTGGTGGCAAGCTGAGCTAATGGGACGGAAGCAGGAAGGGGAGAGGCCAGAAATCCTCAAGCCAGCATCACTGCCATGCAGAGTGGAAGGATGCCACATGGCAAAGTTTGCCAAGTCTGGTCCTCTCTGCAATTTCCTTTGGCATTCTTACTTGGGTGCTATGATTACTGAAGTTTGGAGTACTTACGCCATGATGCCCGAGAGATGAAACATTTCAGCTGTTATGTATGACAAGTAACTGTACAGGAAGACAAAGAGTGGCTCAATCACTCGGATTTTATGGGTGAAACGGGTGGTAAAGGCTGCTACAAATCCCAAAAGGATTCCAATCAATACTCCACCGATCCCCACTATAAAGAAGTTAGCAATCCCAGCGAATATGTCAATAACCTTAATTGTGCGCATCTGGCAGAAAGACTTGAACAAATTGTACAGGACCTATGAGGAAAAAGAAAGCACATTATGTTTCTGAACTCTTCTTCATTTCCCTTCATGTCATTATGCTCCTCTGCTTCAATCCTGAACTTTTAATATCTCCATCTACCTTCAACTCACTGTTGAGATATGTTGTTGTCTACCTCTGGTATATTACTTGTCATCCATAAATATCAGGGACATACACAAAGAAGGGCAAATATCATCATTTCCACTTCTGCAACTGGGATAAGGTTCTTAACACCTGTCGTTCTGTAGGCCAGGTGCATAGAACTATCTGATCTTTCTTTAATTTCATTTATTTGCAGAGCTTATAATTTCTCCACAAATGGCCATTTCAGATTTTCCCCAGAATACAATAAATAAATAAATAAAGAGGAAGAAAAAATACAGTTTAATAATCAGTGAAAAATCAGGTTATTTTCAAATGTGCTTGATCTATATAAAACATTGAAAGCTGCAGTGCTGAATCAGATTATAGATTAACCTGGCACAGGGTAGGGCAGGGGTGAGAAAGGGGATGAACAGTGATCACTCCAAGGAGTACAATAAACATGGCATCCATGGAGTGCTCCTTCTCTGACTTACTCAACATTAGGAATGCAATAGTTTTAAGACTTTTAAAATTTTAGATTATTTATAGAGATTTGGTTTTAATTCCCATTAAAAGACCTGTTACTATGTGTTTGCCCAGTTTATTTTTCAAAGTATTTGTAACCATCCTCCAAAACAAACTGGGTCAATGGGATTATGACATTTTCTTAGCCAGAGAGCCTTTTTTAAATTTTTATTTTATTTTATTTTATTTCCACACAGGAAACAGAATGATGTAAAGTCCACATTTCTCTAATATCCAGTATTTTCCTTACTATACACCAGAAAACAATGGAACCAGTGACTCTTAAAGAAACCTTAAAGGGTCTCTCCATTTGCAGGCTTACTTGGGAGATTTAAGCATTCCCTCCCTGGTACTGCACGTGTGCTCCCAGCCATGCAACACTGTGATGGCTACATGGTCCCCTTGTACAGATCTGAGCTTGGTCACAGGAACCTACTCCTACCTCAACAGGAGTGAGTGAACCTGAGTTCACAGGCTAAGCCACCATGGTCATAACAAACACCTAAGTAGTCACCTTGGACAGCTTGCAGCAGTTAAACCCTCATTTTCTTTCTAGACTTTGTAGCAAACCAAACAGGTTACTCTAACAGTAATGTTATTTAAGAGAACAACATTTTATCAGCACTTGCAATGTGCCAACAATGTAGGTGTTTGCATAATGACCGGGAGGCATTTATAATGCTGGCAGTCTTGTTCTCTCTCACATGACAAAAAGTAAGTTGTTCGGCTTTTCTTGGCCCAAATTCGACAGCTCTTATAGAGGTAGAAGTTCTCGGTAGAGATTAGTGCAAAGACGTGGACTGTTATGGGTCCTTTGGGCTAAGGGAAAGGGAAGAACTGAAAAAGAACAGAAGGTTAAATAAAACCTAACATGATCACCAGCAATTTTCATTGCAAAACAACAAATAGGACAAGAGCCGGAGCATGAACTATTTGTTTGATAATAATGATGCCCTCAGGATAAGTCCAACTGGGAGAAGGGTCCTTCTTCTTCTAGACAAACCCCTTCGTCTTGCTACTCTGAGGCAGACTCTGAGCCTTTTTGCCCTGTTCCTTGTTACTATGTCCTGTGCAGGAAAGGAATGTGATAGGCTCCACTGGTTTTCCACCTGTTTTGACTTGTGAACGTTACAGATCTGCATGAAAAGAAGTATACCAGAATTAAGCCTATAGATAAGAGGTGTGCCTTGGTCACTTGAGAAGGACCTCTCAGCCCACAGACTCCCAGGACTCCACGAATCATAGACTGAAGAAAAAATACTGCTGACTTGAGCTGTGTGCAAGGAGAGGAGTTTCCCTGAGTCACTTGCTGAAACTTGGGACTATCCCAAGACACCTACAGAATCTGACATGGCAGAATATTCCCTTGGTATGTATTAGGCAAGATTATTATTCTCTTTAACTGGAGTTTTAAATACCCCTTTTTATATTTTAAAAAGTAAGCATATAAATATATATATAAGGCACATCTCCAAAGTAAGGTCACTGACAGCTGCCTGTAAAGAAGCATGTAATTTTTATCTACTCAGGCAATAGCCTTTCCAAGGCTACTGGTTGTGAGCACTGACATTATCCTCACAGCAAAATATTCACCCTGCAAACAGAATGGAGCCTGTTGTTTCCATATACAGACAACCCCATAAATCTCAAGTCTGTTGCTGTAAAGTTATTTGAAAGAAGAAAAGCAATGTTCTCCTTCTTACCTGAGATCAAAACCAGACTGTTGTGGTAGAAGCAGCAGCTAAGACTACGGAATGTAATGAACGTGATTTTAATCTTGTTTCTACTGTTCTTTATTTACACTGCTGTAAATGTAATCAAAATCAGGTTGACTTCCCTTTTACTCTACAGCAGTTGGGTTTTACAGCTAAACTTTCAGGTGAGTAGCAACATTAACTCTAGTCATTTGGTATGAGAACAGGGGGTTTTCAAGTTCAGGATTTGCATTTACTCAACATCCTTCAGCTGAACTCACTGAAGGTTACACCAAGGAGTATTAGTCAGCAATCACTTTTTAATCTTGTCTCAGAATACGTCTGCTCTTTCTAGACACTAATTGCATATTTTTGTCAGTTCTCAGTTACAAGATTTAATTCTGAAATTACTTTAAAACACTCTAAATGTTTTCAGCAGAGGCAGAATACAGAGCACTGCTGTAATGTTTTATAGGATGGAAATAATATTATTGTAATGACACTGGCCCCTTCTTTGTGTTTTTAAACCCAGAATTGGAATTTGAACTGCTAACTCTCAACTTCAACTGTGATCCTGCAATGTAATATCACTGTGCTAGTTATCACTGACCCAGTCTTTCGGGAAAGCACCGACTCTGAACAAGAAGCCAACTGGCAAACGTTGTCCTCAGCTGAATTCAAGCTCCAAAATTCCATCAGTGGGGTAAAGGATCATCCAAATGCACGGGTGTATCACAAAAACTATCAGGCATGAAAGATCATCTGAGAAACACAGGAGAGCTGAGACTCTTGAGAAAGCACACCTCACTTTGTACCTAAAATGAAGGTGTGGTAGCACAGTTTCTGAAAAGGAAAAGCATAGATGACACTGCTATCCTAATAAAAGCTTTTATTAGGAGGAGCCAGGCAGTCCAAGCAGGAGAGTAGGAAGAAAAGCTTGAAAGCATGTTTACTAAATCACTGCACTGTTCTGCACTGCCCATCTGTGTAGGCCTTGGGTTTTTGGTACTGCAGTGGTCGTAGGACTTAGGCAGTTTCTGCAGATGGCCAGCCTGTGTTCAACTCCCATCCTACTTTGTCCCTCCATTCCACTGGAGGCACCTGCCAGGGTAGGTGGGACACAAGGGGTCCAGCACATGAAAGCTGGAAGGTACTGAGCTCTGCTTGCTCTCTTGTTCTGTCAACTCTCCACATAACACAACAAGGGGAAAGAAGAAAAAGTATTTACAAAACATGGTCTCCTTTGAGCATTTAACTACATAACCCCAGCCAGGACTGGTCTGGCACCATTGCTCTGGGCAGGGGAAGAGAGGTCCTCTAAGGGCACCCCACAGGGAAACAGTCTGAGGGTCTGGGTCATGTTCTAAGTCTAATCACATGATTGCAGGTGTGCAAAATCATAACAAGGAACTATTAGCAGACCAATTCTTAGCATGTGGAAACCACTTGATCTCCTGCCAAGTGCTACCCTTAAGCGATAGCTGTGAAGTAAGACCAAAGGTACTCTAAATTCCTTTCACTCCCTCATGAATATATGTATGGCCAGTGTGCATACTGGGCTGGGCCTACAGGCTCCTCAGAGTATCTTCTCTGTGTTAGGGCACCTGGGCAGACATGCCATGAGAAAGGACTACCTCCAAATAAAGCAATAATGATGTCTGCAGGAAAGCCACACATCACTGTTATTAAATTGTTATGACAGCACTTATAAAAATGGTGTTTTGGAGCAATTTGCCATTGGGCAATAGAACGCATGAATACTTCCATCATCAGGATGCAGTGCTTTCCTAGCAAATCTTGCCGCCTTTAACTACGGCTTCAGTGGAAATATGATCAATTTTGTTATTGGAAAAAAGTTATTCCAGTTGGAAAAATACACCCAAAAATATTTACACTAACATAAAACCAGATTTATTCCCCCAGAAAAAAAAACTTGTATGAAATGAATTCCACTGCACAAGTGGCTATTAAGAATTAATAGAGACAGACACAGCCATGGTTGAACTGCTAAGCTTTTTGAAACTCAGCGTTTACACCCATTTATTTTCAGGACTGGTTTAAGTACCAGTTTAGTAATGGCAGGCAGATTCACCTGTAAGCTAATGAGAAAAGCTAGGCTCCAAGGCAAGGCCATAACAGAGGATGTGATTCAGCTGGATGGATAGCAACAGAACCAGGTAAACATGAAGCATAAGTGAAAAAAAAACCCCACAAACAAAAAAACAGGACTCCCATGGACACACAACAAACTATCAGTACCAAGGCTCAGGTTGAATGTTGAGATACACAAGTGTTAAGCAGGTGAGGCAAAGTCCCAGACAAAAGGAAAAGCAAAGGACACCAAAGGTGCATAGAATGAGACAGGAATAAGAAGCCAGCGACAGAGAGAGGGAAGGTGTGGACTCAATTCATAAATCTTTCTGATCCTTCTGGCATATGAAAAACTGGACCTCCATGTCTCACAAAACAGAAAGCATGCCAGGACATAGTTGGCACAAGCAGGATTTCAACTAAGGCATGGATAAACAGCAGCAATTTCCCAGACATGGTGTCATCAGGTACAAACAAGGGGCATTGGAGATGTTAATGGAATTTGCAGATTACTGTCCTCAGGTTAGCACCACAAGCCCAGTTCAGCTAGTTAATGATTAGAAATTACTGCCTCCAGATGGCTGTCCTATCTAATCTGTAGCCTGGAATAAATGGATTGGTGGTCCCAGGACAGTTCCAACTGGATGAACACACATGAACACATGTGCAAAATGCACATGCACATCAAGTAGGTCATGTGCCACCTCAATGATTTGCCCATTCACCATGTGAACGTACTGGCACACCCACCATTGGCCCTTTTCCTTCTCCTGTGTAGCAACTTTTTTGCAGGTGAGGAATTAAAATTAGTGAAATAACAGAATTCAAAGATACAGAAACAAAAGAGATTAGGTGATAAAAGCCCTAGAGCAAACATGCTGCCATTACACATTACTCTGATGTTGTAAGAGTAAATCTGAAGTTTAGCGAATTACACAAACACATCAGCACACCTTGACTTCCATCTATCAGCAAACTGTAATAACCAGACACAAAAAGATATAACGAGGTGGCACGCGATCACTTTTTATCAACTAATCACTTATCAAGTAACTTACCACAGTTATAGCATCATTCAGCAAAGACTCTCCAAACACCAGGATGTAAAGCTGCTCATTGACATGAATATTTTCAAAAACGGCTAACACTGCCACAGGATCCACGGCTGAAATGAGGCTGCCAAAGAGCAAATTCTGCAGCAATGTGATATCAGTCAAACCAAATGCACTGATCTGGCAAATTCCATAAAGTGAAATTCCAATGCCAATGGCGTTCCAGAGTGTGCCCACCACGGCATACCAGAATATGGTACCAAAGTTCTCAAAGAAAAGACGAGTTGGCATAAAATATCCAGCGTCGAGTACAATGGGTGGTAAAAGATACAAGAAAAAAACATCACTGTTCATTACAGGTGGGGACTTCTCCTCTGCTCCAAATATAATCCCACCAAGAAGCAATCCAACCAGAATGAGGAGACAGCTTTCAGGCACTATTGAGGGCAACTTGTGATAGAGATGAAAGCCTTCAAAGGAAATTCAAACACAAGAAAGTAAAATGGTTATTTGCAAAAAATTCGAAATAATATTCTGGATTCTGTGATCTTAGTTTCTATAGTAAACAAACAGTAACTGCAGAGATACTTAATTTTCATTTCAAAGACTGAACTGGACCATCACAGCTGGTCAAGGCAAATTTGTCAGCTAGGACAGTTAGTTAAGTTGGTGGAGAGTCAATTTATTAGTTAGATGTTCCAGTGAATAGCTAGGCTTGCTGGAGCGACTGTGTGCAAGGGTTCTGTTTGTGGAAGTGTGGGAATTTTTGTAAAATGGAATCCTCCCGAAATGTAAATCAAACACTTTTCTAGCGCCAATTACATCAAGATAGAGAAAAAAAATATTACACTAATCACCCCTTCCTCCATGCACAGCTTCACAAAGGAGTTTAAGGAGTATATTAATTTAATTTTTAGAAGCTTTTTAGAGTCTAAAAGCTAGGGAGGGGAACTGGCACATGTGACCTGCACCCAGTCACCCACGGCCACTTCCTCAGCCACCATGAGGAAGCATTTACAGACACACTATTGTCCAATTTTAGCAGAGTCTCCAAATTAATTTCACAATAACCAACATGTTTTCCATAAAGTGACAATAAGTTGTAGCCTGGATGGTTGTGCTCATTCATCTGTGTCATATGAATTGTGGTAGCATCAAGTGTCTCTCGTACAGATCTGTGCAAAGTACTGGAAATATGAATTTAAAAAGTGTTCTGAATTAGGACTTAATGGTTAAATTTTCCTCAGCTTACTAAAACTCTCCAAGCTATGCAGTTTTGATTTTAAAATTTCCATTACTTGCGTAAGTTGACTGTTTTAAGGATGGTTTTGGTAATGAATGGGAAAAGTTTTGAAGGAACTTACTCTGGCCAATCTAATGGAACAATCAACCTTATGCACCAAGGTCACATTCCAGGTCTTGGAGATGCCAATCTTTTCCAGGCTCCTCCTTATCTATATTTGGCCCACATAATTATATAGAAAACTATCCACACCCACAAGATCCCATAATTCCTGCCTAACTAAAAAGCATTTAAATTATTTTAAATGAGAGCTACACAGAAACACTGGGTTTGGTAATAATGGGCGTCTATTTCAGTAAAACTATTTCAGTAAAAATCACACCTGTAGTTGAAACAGTTAAACTAGCGAAAGCTTGGTACACATCACATCCAGTTTCCCAGTTTCAGGCTTCTGTATCTTGTAACACCTATTTTGTTAACTCAATTATGGATGTTTTCCAGGTAAAAAAAACCCTGAACTTATAATTAGGAAAAATAAATGGTTAAGACAGATCAAGGGGAAGGTTGTTTTCATCTACAGATTTTTTTACTTACATATGCTATAACTATTAAAGCTATTTTTTAAAGTAAGCACTTCAAGCGGCAGGTTTTGTTTTTTTCTTTCTGGTGAACACAGACTGCTTTTTAATAGTTAGAAACACAGACTATGTGACTCATTAGAAGGATTGCCAAATTCACAGTCATTCCTCAGAACCATAATCATCAATATCCTATATTGATAAGACAGGTAGTGACTCTGGAAATACAAGAATTTGTAGCTGAAGACTTGACTCTTTACCTTTCAACCCCTTCCACATAAACATTTTGCAGTGTGCCTTAGTTTCTGCAGTGGCAGGATGCCAGGATTTCCAATACAGTGATTGAAGTTTCCTCTGAATAAATAGATTTTGCTAAAAGTTGTTTTAAGACCTTCAAAAGTATCTTAAATCATTTTCTCCGTAAAAATTGAAGAGGAAGTAATTTTTGGAAACGCAACTTTTAATAAAAACAAAAAACTTCCTAACTGGCTATAATGCAAGAGCATTGAAAAGTCTATTGTGAGTATAAAAATAAAAAACCTTTTATTTTCTTCTTTACACGGCACTCTTTGAAAGTTCATAACCTCTCAGAGCTTTTGGGACTCCACCTCATCCTTAAAGGCAATAAAAAGGCTGTCACTAGGTTCAATGTGCTTTTTATCCATGTAAACATGATTGAAACTCCTAAAAGACTGCCTGCCTCCATGAAAGGGACAAAAAGGTTATCACGGACAGACTGTGGTTCCCCATTTAAGGATAGAGAGATAGGATTTAGGATTCAATGCACATCAAGCCAGGTGCCCTGCAGGATGAGGGACATCTTCCCTACTTCGATGGATCCACAGCCACACGGTCAGAAACCCTAAGAGCATATCCCCTGCAGTACATGAATACTCAGACTTTTATGCTGAACCCAGAACTACAGCTACTTTCTCCTCCTCTGACCCTGTTCTTGGGCTCCTGACTACACAGTTACCTAGCTTCAACAGCATGGAAGGTGTTTACCCTCAGGCCATTGGGCATTAGGACACTTGCTTAAAGTGCAAGTTCAGTATTCTTCAAGATAAAAGTCCTTAGAGTCCTGGTTTCCTACTTGTTAGGTGAAATCCAGTGCACTCTGATGCTGGAAATCCCCCTGAGTTGCGTACTTCTGAATATACATGAGTTTTCGAAGGGCCCTCTGAATACCTTATACCTTTTTTCAGGATAGAAGTGCTGGAAGGGTACCAGCTAAATTGACAGAACTTCTCATAGTGCATTTGTGATTAAATGCAGGACTAATGGGAATGCAGATCAGTCAGACAACATTTTATATGTTTAGTAGCATAAGAATGAAGCAAAACTGCTAGATAAGTAGACTACTCTCACTACCTAGAAACTGCAGCATATTTCAGGTTCCCTGGGTCCCACCTAATATACTCAGAGTAAATCAGCATGTTTGTAACATACCTCCTATCTGGCATCACCGCACAAACCCACAAATAAGTAGAGGTAGCCAGAAAATAACCATTTTGTTCAATGTAATTTCTTAGATTTCAAAATACGCCCTTCTATGCTGGAAGAAAAAGCACTGTGTTTCTAATGCCTTTGTGAAAATGTTCCATGTCAAAAAGTTCAAGTTCTGCTTGACAACTTTAGGTTTTCCCTTTTTGTGCAGTCTCTTTTACTGTCTCTAAACCTAGCCTACAATGACATGAGCACAGCCAGGATCTCAGAAACCTTTCAGGTAAACCCCCTGTAAAAAACAGCAAATGCTGGCCAGTGAAACTGCATTTCTGCAAAAGCACATTTGTTCAAAAACACTCCTGCAGGGTAACAAGCAAGTGCTGCAATACATTTGCCTTTGGGGTCCTTCATACACTGTGAGGGCTGTTATTAAATATGACCCTATCTTCTGAGCTCTATGCAGCTGAAAAGAACTTAGGGCTCAGTTCACCAAGGTTTACTACTCGTCAGTGCCAAGCGTAAGCATTCAGCACCAAGCCCCAGAAAGGAATTTGTGATGCCAGATTAGGCACCCAAGTTTCCTGGGCAGTGTGTGAGTCTCGAGGTGGATTTCATGCTGCCTGGCATGATAGGGGCGAGATGCCGATGCTGCTCAGCAGGA